ACTACTAACTACTAACTACTACTTACTACTACTAACTACTAACTACTACTTACTACTTACTACTTACTACTACTACTACTACTGCTACTACTACTACTAATAACAATAATAATTATGATAATCAATGATAATATAGTTAATTATATATTATAGTATAATAGCAGTAGTAGTAGCAGCAGCAGTAGCAGTAGTGGTAGTAGTAGTAGTAGTTGTTGTTGTTGTAGGAGGAGATGGTGTAGGAGTAGTTCCGTGGGTTTGGTAGTAACTTAGTACTTGTGAATGCAGTAGTTGCCCCCCAAAATAGCGGAACAGTGGCATTTTGTTGCCAGTGTTGTGGGTGATTTGTGGGCTCTTGTGAGCGCTTATCCTTTGGATTTGGCGAATCTCTACCACTATGACGGAGGGCTTTTGTTTCTTGTTCTGCAAAAAGCATCACCCAGGCAACGTGTCCACCGGACCCGCTTTGCCACCGCTGGGGACGTTGAGCGATGAACCGCTGCCGCGGACGAATGTGAAGTGCCCCGAGGAGGTCGTTCTGAGAGATTGGAACGGCAGGAGCCTGGGGCGTCAACGGGATTGGATCCGGAGAGCTGGTGTGTTGTGATGGACGGTGAGCTGGTGACATCAGGGTTTGTGTTCTGTGATGATGTAAAAAATATGAACTTGAAGTTATGCCTCAAAAGTTGGTTAAACAGCACCCCTCAGTCTGAGTTGAAATCATAATGAGATTAAATGCTCAGTGTACACCTACGGGTATAACACCATTGGGCTGCAATTCTGGTGGTATCACGCAACTCCTGAGGAATTTGCCTTAGCAGTTTGAAAAAGAAAACAGTGGCTACCACAAGGTATCCGCCAGTATATACTTGCTGGCCTGACTTGAATAAAAACAAATCAGAGTGAGATCTTTTTGCACCGGTGCCCTTGTTCAACACAGCCAGCGATCAGCAATTGAATCGGCAATTGAACAACTTTCCAGTGTTAGCCACCCTCCTTTCAGTGCTGGTTGATCCTGATTGCACCAGTTCCTTTCTGCCGCCCTCGAAAGCAAGGATTGGAAATCACTTCTTTCAGATCAGTCAAGCGATCGTTCCTTGGCAATCTTTGGCCATGTGTTACGTGAATGGGGAGCTTCATGTTGCGCGGAGACGTGTCTTTAAAGGGAACCTCGTTATATATATATACGTTCGTAGCTTCTTGCTACTAGTAGCTACTAGTAGTAATGGCCTCGACCCTAGTAGCGATGGCCTCCAACCTAGGAGCGTCAGGAGTCAAAGAGCGGCCTTAGCTACTTCCAGCTTCGGGTCGAAGGCACCGCATGAGGTCTTCGCACTGCTTTGCGGCACACCGATCGTCACCTTTCCAGCGTTTATTCCACGCCTCTATCAATCACAAGTGTCTTGGTTTTTGGAGGAGATCGGGCATGGAGAGCACACAGAGATAGACAGAGATATCTCAGTGCGAAGCAGTTCCTACATCGTCACAAGGAGTGAATTCTTTGTAAATGACTTCTTGAAGTGTTCACATCGTCTATATTTATTTGGTCGCATGTCTGAGGAAGTGTCCGTGCTTGTGTGGTCAGCACCACTCACTCCATAAGAGGTGTGGTCCATCGGTCCGTGACCCATTCCACGAAGCTCGTTGGTGGATGAACCCGATGGATGAAACGCAGCAACACTCAAGGGTATGTGGATCATGTGGGATTCCAACAGTGAAGCATGTTCCATGCCGAAGCAACCACCTGGAACAGGATAATCGTGTTTCTGCACAGGTTTATGGCATTATGGGTTGCTATTACGATCTAATAATACGCTTTTGGTGGGAGAGGATCTGTAGATAATTGTCAATAACAACTATAATAATTTAACTATATATACATATTTACATATCGGTGGCAAGGTGATAATTGGTTGAACAAAAGGAATATATAACTATAACTCATGTGCAAAGAATGCACTTTCCACATTTGTTTGCACCAGTCCATGTTTGCCCAGCCCTGTTGGTGAGGCAGGGATGCTTCGAATGCCACAGAGGGTAGCAACTCGGGCCAAGCGATGGCAAGGGCACTTCAGGTGACTACATCCAATCAACACTCATGAAAGATCAATAAGTTCTTAGAGTTGACCTGTTTTCCATTCTTGATTGTAAGTTCGTATCCATTATAGAACCATAGATGGCCCTTTGCTGTTGCTTGATGAATCGAGGGGATACCCCACCGGTCCCAGCGCCTGTCGTGGGCATGGCCGTTGGGAGGTTGGAGCAGCGAGGAAGCACACGTCCCGTTTCGTTTGAGGGGAACTGGAACTTGAGGTTGTCCAGGGCAAATTCTCAGGTGGCTGGTCCTTTTCGGAGCAAAAAGACTTGGACAAGACTCGGGCTTTCACATTGAATCGTTCATCAATCGGGCCTTTGGGTCTTCGATCAAGGTTGTGGCCCGTGGAGTCGGTGGGGCCGCCCGAGGATTGGAGGATCTTAGGACGCCGAGAGCTGCCGCAGGTCACCCTTTCTGGGGGTCCTTTCCCGACCAATGGACCAGGGTCACCAGTTTGGAGCCGTTGAAGAAATGGTTCCCTGATTGGAGCGCCATGGCAAGCATCATGTGTGCAAGGGAGTCCGGCGGGGTTTGAGGTTGCTGTGTAAGCTAAACCCATGCGATTGCCTTCTGAGTGTTGCTCCTCCAAGTCGCAGTGTTACAGGGCGGCTACCCGTGGGAAATCGGTACCGCTTTTCAACTGCAGGTCTTGCAAGGGCTTCCGCTCAAAGCTGGAGGTACTGGGACACTGTGTTGGTGGAATTGACACCAGCAGATCATTGACCAGAGTCATCGGAATTTTGTATCAGATACCGTGGATGATTTGGAGGTCGAGAATGGAGAATTGAGAATAGAACAGTCACCGCCCGTTTTCTTTGGAATGATCTTCCCCAAAGAAATCATAGAAGTGCCTTTTTGGGCCCCAACGAGACATGCCTCGTTTCCACAACCCAGAAGTTTCCATGTCCATGCAAGCTTTGAAATTTTGGAGGTTTCGGGGAGTTTATTGATGAGGACCCTTGTGTATGCTTGACTCATTCCACACAGGGAAGAAAATGCAACCTGACCAACTCACTAAGCAGATGGGTCTTACTTGCTGTTTGACCCATCCAAATGAACCACAAGGGATTTGCCTAGCCATGGATCCCAACGAATAGACCAAAAGAATGATCTCTGCGACCAATAGACCATGCATTCGCTCGTAGTCCTTGGTCACTTTGGCAACATGAACGCTTCTGCTGGTGCTGGGAGGTCATTCGCTTGGTGCCCGCTTGCGCCAGGCTCCATTCCGGAGGCCTGTCCAACAAGAGGCAGCAACTGGTACCACCAGCATTGTCGTGGCATTCCTTCGTGGAGACACCGCCAGGCTAGATTTCGGGCATACCAGGCTGGGAAGGTGGAAATTAGCAGCTCCTTCAGATTTTGCGTTATATATACAATATAAACATGTTGAGTCTTGTCAACCTTTCTAGCCTTCCCTGCATGATTGAACCTCAAGAATCACATTCTTTTTGTGTGCTTTTAAACCCACCAACCATGATTTCTTGAACGAATTCTGGACCACAAGAACAGGGAAGACCGTGCCACAGGTTTTCAGGTAAGATCCAATATCTTCACCAAGCACTGGGCATTGCACACGATGAACCTTTCAATCACGTGGGTGGAAACCAGTCGGCCGGTATAACTCTACGCTACTGCGGCGGCACTGATACAACCAACGGTAACTCTACACCTCTACGCTTTTTGCTGTACATGATATGACCAAACAAAAAGCGTAGACACCTGACGGCCGTTGTGACGGCCCGTTTCTCCCGCGTAACTCGGGATGCTCGTGCCCAGGTGATGGCGCAATTCTTGAGACCCAACTTGGGGGAGAAGCTTTTGAGCCCCTGGGATCTGGAAGGTGCGAGAGTGACGGATGTGACGGATGTGTGGGTTGTTCAGGTTGAATGTCAAGCGGCGTTGCGATATAGTTAGCTTGGTGAGGAACAGGGGCCATTGAAGGTGTCCATCTTCCTATAGGGGGTGGTGTTTATATTCCACTGGCATCGGAACACACTCCGTGCTGTCCCTCGCGAATTACGAATTCTGTCATGGACCCCTGCGGACACCGCCATATGTCCGGTGACACTCAGGGCGGATCGGCACGAGATGTGGGCGAGAGAAATCTCCACCTTGTCTAAGATGTCTAAGAGAAACCGGACAAAGTCGTTCTCAAGGCGCAGGGTGACAAGGGGATAAGTCGATGAAGCTGGAGACGCATTGGGCAAGCGACCAGGTGCGGCAAGCGACCAGTGGTACAGCCACAGCGTCGTGACCATGCGGTCTCCGGCACCACTGAAGCCTGGGCATAGACGAGAGAACCATCCGGTCGGAGCACCCGCGCCCTCTTAAGACCGGGGGCTGTCGCAGCACCAGAGTCATCCAGCGTCCTCTTAACACGGCACTGGAAGCGTGGCGAGACACTGGGGCTAAGAAATGGCGGAGATGTGGAGAGCTTGGTCGGAGCTTCGGAACAGGGTGTTCCCATGGTTGTCGCACAAATCCATCGCGGAATTGGAAGGGACGTTGAAGAGACGCCTGAGGCTATCCTCGACCAAGCCAATCGCTGGCTTGAAGAAAGTAGACATGAGACAGCCGGGGAGAACATAGCTAAGCCGAGCAGAGCGGTTTAGCAAGGCCACTGCAGCGGTGTGCGGAAGAGGCTACAGAACGACTAAGAAACAGATCGGCGCCCGGGCACATCATGTGCTCATGGGAAACCCGATGAACAGCTCGAGCGTCCAATGATATTCAGGAAAGACATGAAAGCAATTGCAAATTAAAATAATGTTTCTTCTGATTTCGTTGAGTCAGGCCGGTCTCTTTCTCAACCCCCTGAATGTGTGATGCGCATGCTATTTAAAGACCCTGGACTTCTAAGGCGCTGAAACCGCTGTGGAGGAGCACTCCAAGGAGATGTTGACTGCTACTTGGCCGAGGTCACTCCTGTCGTTTCTTGCTGCACCCATGAGCCAACAATCATCCACCAGGCCAGTCCAACTATGTCCAACTAGAACATGATGGAACTGGTCCCAAGGGTTGTTCAAGTCATACCGGGTGGGCTGGTGCGTGTATATATAAGCCTTTGTTTGTTCCTTTCTTCCCAAGCATTGCTGCTTCTCCGCGGGAACCTTTCCGGCAGTCCAGCTTGTTCTTCGATGTTTTTTTCTCAGGCTGTATCCTCCAGCCTTGTCCTACAGATCTAGAGGAGTTGCCAAGCGCAGAGAAAGATCATGGTTGGAATATAGGCTAATATAGGTCCAGTCCTATAATGTCCTATAGACACAAACCAGTTCAAGAAACATTGGTTACTGTAACTAGTTTCTGCTTTCATGGACCTCAGTGGTTCATCGAAGAGGGGTATTGATGCTCATGAAGGACCAGCTCGTTACCTGCTGACGATGAGCGCCTCATTTCATTACTGCTTCCTGGCGGACAACAGTCAAATTCCCGAGGGTTTGGTCCTTTCAAGGTCAATGTGAGTTTTCTTCTACCCCCTAGTCAGGCAGTGGTGCATCTTCTAACCCACTTCAGGGTCGGTTTCCCTACTTTGTCGAAGACCGGAGCGGAGATCCGAAAAGATCCGCCGAGGTCCATCTGAGAGGAGAAGATATCCACGTGAAGCCCCAGTACGAGGTTAATCAGCCTCCATGCAACTTGAAATGGCAGCGGGCGATTTAAGCTCATGATTACCATGATGATCGATTATCACAGATCCTCGCAGGAGGTGGGGAAAGAGGATATAAAAGGAAGAAGTTGGCGACTTTTTCCAGCACCACTGACCGCTATTAGGCGGAGGCAGGCCATCGCTATTCGGTGGAGGCCATCGCTATTAGGTTGGAGGCCATCGCTAGAAGCTTCACCCAAAATCGGTCCTTTTGAGGTGAATGGGGAAGCGTCTTAACACCAACAGTTCACCATAGTTCACCAACAGGGAAGCGTTCGAACGCGCCGGGGCGATGTGTCGGGGGTTTGGTTGGGGTTCGGCCTCGGTGGATGTCAGGCGACTTCTGTTTCGGGAGTGATGGCGGGAAGAAGCAGGGAAGTGTTGATTTTCTTTGATCAATTTCAAGTGGGGATGTCAACAGGGGTGTCCATGTGAACCGGACTTCACCGAAAGCTGAGGTAGCATGTACAAAAAGATCTTGTCGGAACACGAGTACCAGAGCGTGATGGTCGTGCAAGTGGGTACCACTGCAGCTTGCCAGATAGGGGGCGTTAACAGGTGCTCCATGTGGTGGTCCAAAGTTTCTTCTATCATGGCCTATAGACTACTAACAGCCCTGCAAAGAGATTCGATGGAGGCTGCTGGCATGAATCTTATGTTTCTGCCAACCAGGCCTCTGCAGTTTGCAACACAGACCTTGTTGATCAAAGTGGTGGCCTTGCTGTATAAGATGTTCACTTTGGGAGGGCGCAGACAAAGTTGCACAAATACATGTCTATACTCGATACATCTCGATACCCTAATACAAAGTATATATCTAATTCCACAAATAGCCGCGTTCTTCCAGGGTACATGGATCCATCCAAGTGCCATGGCATCCAGCAAGAATGCAGGTCAAAAGCAAGTACCATAAAGGCACCATTGCAAGGGTATGTTGGTCAGTTGTTTCAACCGCTTCCCAATACAAACGGTGGTTTCAATGACATGCCATAGCTCAACCACTCCATTCCCTTGGTTAGACCATGTTAGACTCGACCAAATGGTACCTGACCTGGGATGTATTGATCAAAGAGGCCAAGATTGCTTATCCACACCCAGCAAGAATAGACTCCATGCAAAATAGATCTATTATTATTCCTCCAATCCCTTGCAACAGAAAGGACCCTTGGACCCCAAACCATCCAAAGCCAAATATTGGCACTTCAGCCTCGCAAGCTCTCAAAAAGCTTCCCTTCAATCTCTTATACTTTAGCACTGGCCTTTTTGGCACAGGAGAGGTGCAATTAAGGGGCATCCTGACCCTGTAGGGTGGTTATAAGTCAACAAAGCTTAATCCTTTCGTTTTGTAGGACAGACTCCGCGCAGGAGGGACGCGTCACACTCCCAGGCTTGTGACGACTACTTCAAGGAGTTGAGCCACTCGCAGCAGGGCGACGCGCAGGGTGACCGAGCGGTTTCCGGGGGGCGGAAAAGGGATGGCTTGACGTCCGTAGAGATTGGGGGGGCAGCAGGTGAACTCAAGATTTCAGAAGATTGAGAATGAACATCAGAGGCATGATTTCTGAGCATTTCTGAGCTTTCCATTGCTTGTACAGGAAAGCCATTGAAAATATTGACAGCTGTGCATGAACCACATCAAAAGCAAGGCACTGGTGGTCATGTCATTGGGTCCCATTGTCATTGTGGTAGGCGCACACCTTCATGGTCTAAGACCAATCTTTGATCGGATATTTGTAGCCAAATAGTTGAAGGGAGGTTTCTTGGAAGGTGTTGCTTGCAAAGGCATGGAATGAGCAGCTCTCACACTCATGGCCTCATCATTAAGGATGTTAATGTAAACATAAACCTACGTGTAGCCACATGACCTGCCTCAAAAAGATGTCCACCAGTAGCAGACCTATCTTGACCTCTCTACCCTGTGTAGCAAGCGAAAGACCTCGGCCCAGAGACCCTCGGCGCGCCTGACCAAATCGATCCGAGAGATATCGAGAAGTTGGTCCCGGAGTCTGACTGGGTGCTTAGCAGGGAATGAGGGAACGACCCTCCATAGACCTTAGGTTCCATTCTCCCAGTCTCTAGTCAGGAGACGTTCCTTCTTTTTGGTGAGTACACAACTTGCCCATGATTGGCACAAGAGTTTTCGGGGATTTGGCAGTCATTGGAGACGTGACAGATTGGAGACGTGACAGAATCTTGGGCAATGTTTGGATTCAGGTTGGGACACAGAAGAGGTTTCGAACTGACCACGTCAGTTTAGACAATCATTGCTCCGCTTCTGGTGGTTACCAGGCTTGTTCAGCAAAGGGATTCCCCTTTTCCCCATGCAGCGGGCGTGCGAGGAAAAGTCATAACAGTCCACAAGCCTAATACAGGCACCTTGTCTCAAGACCTTGAGCGTTTTCGGCGATCACGAGTGACGCCCTCCGTTGGGTCCAGGATAGAAGGCCATCACATCAATGTGGATGTGTTAGTGTCAAATGGGAGTTTGTCTGGTGTGAACAGATCTGACTGACTGGTGTTGCAGTGCCGAAAGCAGAGGCACGGAAGATCCAGGATGGCCGAAGACATTTGCTCAGCATATATAATAGTGCAGGACGACGACAAGATCAATCCTGCACAACTTGAGATGGATTATATCCAAAGATTCCCTATACCACAATGAAGTCTGTTCAATGTACAGTCTTGGGGACTAGACGTTGGGTGCATTTGCAGGATCCACCACCAGAATATTCTGTTCTTGATGTGCAGAGGGTGGAACATGGAATTTGACTCAGTGCCATACTGCAGGGACTCATTGGGTTTGGTTTCGAGACTTTCTTGGGCGACCTCGCCTTTTTCCAATTGAAGGCACTGATCTGAAGCCCAGCAGTCAAAAGCAACCACCAGCTATCAGCACCTTCCGTTTGGGGCTGGGTCCTCATGGACGGTCGCATGGGCGACTAGGCTTCGGACACCCCACGGATGGTCCGAACCTGTGCTTCGACTTCACAAGTTTTGGAAGACATTTGGAATCATTTGGAACATCACCTGACATGTCAAACAAGCAAGGGTCACATTTACGGTGTCTTTTGGGGGAGCTTGGTGGGGCCAGTGGGGGCTGCGCGTCATCTTCAGGCTCAGTGGTGAAAGACTTCGCTCAGCTCATGCGGGCAAGGACCGTCGGAATGCTTTACAGCTTCCCTCGGTTCGGAGTCCACAAGAAGTTACTGGATGTTACTGGTATTGCTTGGCGTTTGGTGTTTCCCGATTGGGGGATGCCCTGAAAACGGAATTTATTTGTGATTATGTGAGAAAACACCAATACATACAAATTATATCTAATAAATGTGCATAAATAGGATCGGAAGAATTAGGCACATAGTTTGTCTTGACTTCAATAGTACATTTGTGCAAATTCAACCATTTGATGGTCCTGGACCTCATCACTGGTTGCCATATGTTTATGTTACCATCTCAATGTTTGGTACAGCTTTGCCCATCTCATCCGGGGCGTGGCAACTCTAATCAACACTCCACCGGCGCTGTACCGAATCCATGGACGCCAACAGGGCCCTGGCCTTCCTGAAGTGCTATCTTCGACTCGTGGTGGAAGACCCTTTCGTGAAAAGATCCGGAAAAGGAGCAGAAAAGTATTCCACGTGTCTTTGTTCAACAAACTATGTCATCATATGTCTATTAAAATCCTCCGTCCACTAGCCTGGCTAGGATCCCATGGGCTTGAGCCCCTGCTGGCTAACATTTTTAGCCAGCCAATCTGGGGATGGATAATTCTTACAGAATCGAGGTTGTACAAAACATTTCTGAGGTTTGGTACCTTTCGCTAGTTGAGCCATATTGAGGAGATACAAGTACCCTAGATCAGGACCTTGTATATACTACTCAGGTGTTGGCTACCTATTATTTTAGCCAGGCCATGCAATGGATTTTAGCCATAGTGTATTTTGGGCACATCGTGTTGACAAAGTGGTCATGTTCAAATGCTTGCCATTGCTTTAGGTAGGCAGCAGGGGTATTCATTCTTCTTGTTTGGATTGTGTGGAAATGTGACAAGGATGTGGTAGGTTAAAGGTGATGTCCAAGACCTTCAACATGTTCAAGAGCTAGACATCTCCAAAACTCCAGGTGGGAGGATTTCAGCCTTTGAGGTCAAGTCTTGCCAGGGTGTTTCGCAGTGTGTGATTGGTGTGTGTGTGTGTGGTAGCAATGTGCTTGGCTAAAGTGAGTGGGTCCCAAGGAGTCACACTACAAAAGCCAATTACAAACCTCACTGAGGTGAATTTCAACAAATTCTGGAACAGACATGTGGTTTTGTTGTGGTGCTGCTGGATATTTGTTTATGAATGTTCTGGTAGCTATTGTTTGGCCAAATGGCTTGTCAATGCTTCATGGTTGGTATGTAGGCAGCAGGGGTATTCTTCTTGTTTGGATTGTGTGGAACTGTGACAAGGATGTGGTAGGTTAAAGTAGGTGATGTCCAAGATCTTCAAGATGTTCAAGGGCTAGACATCTCCAAAACTCCAGGTGGGAGGATTTACTGTAAGCCTTTGTGGTCAAGTCTTGCCAGGGTGTCACCAGACACAGTTTGTCACATGTCAATTTGGTTGGGTACCTATATGTTTAGCTGTTGGTGGCTAAACTTTTTAGCCAAAAAAGAGGTTGGGTCCATGGTCGTTTAGCCATGGGTCCCTGTGTGCAACACATGGGGTTGGGTCCAGAACTTTCTGGCTAAATTGCTCCTGGTAGTTCATCGTACCTTGGGTCCCACTTCATTTAGCCAGAGGTTGAGGGACCCAAGGGGGTAGTGTGTAGTGAGCCGGGGATTATTAAATCGTGATCAGTGGTCAGTCTCTAATCGCCTCTAATGGAGTTCTTCTATGTTCTTCATCCATGTCTTGTTTCTTGCTGTGGACTGTAGGGATGTTCACACCTTTGGGCTGCTGAGAAGGCGATGGCCTCGGATGTGACTCTTAGCAGTCTTAGCATCTCATTGCCAAACCATCGGACTGGAATAGGACTGAATCATTTTATAGGGTGCATGATGGGTGTAGTGCTTCGAGAGTACTTGTGAGTCCACAGGAGTCATTTTGACTTCCTACTTGTCATCCTTCGCCTTCCTCAGTGTTGTGACCCAATGGATTCAAGGGGCTTCCGCCCGAAAGCGGGCCAGCAGGGGGCCCAGAGATAGCGGCAGAGGTGAACAGGTAAAAGCGGTTCTTGGCGTTGTGCGTTGTGCTGGTGCTGATGCGGTGGCTGTGTTGTTGTGGCGGTGGTTGTATGATGTTGTATGTGGTTGTTGTTGTCGTTGTGAATGTTGCCTTTCCCAGAAACAGATGCAGACACAGAAAATGCTGATAATGCAAGGCAACTGAGGCGTCGTAACTCGCACCGTGGACTCATTAGCACTGAAAGGAAGGAGGGGTGCCGTGACGGAACATAAACAACACATTCTAATGTTGAAGCATCATGTCTAACTAGTGTCGTTTCTTTTGGGGGGGCTGCGTTGGCAGCATCGGTATTTGCAAGGTTTTCCAGACCCTCCTCTACGCTATCCCGCCAGGGGTCTGCGGCTAGGGGACGCGTCCGTCTTGCCTTTGCCCGGCGGCCTGAACGGTGTCGCCACCCCTGGCCGATCGAATTCCACACGAGAATCGTCCCGAAACTTGCTGCGAGGGTCACAGACAAGCTTCGAAGCCCTGTACAACAAGGGTTGGCAGGGCCATGACCAGCGGGCTGATGAGCAGCGGGCTGGAAGGCGTCCTTTGCCAATGCTGTTCTGCGCGCAACTGTGGGCAGAGAAGGCAGCTTCGAATCC